GCGGCCTTCAACCACTACGTCTCCCACCAGCCCCTCTCTGTTTGTAAATAGCAGGCCTAGCGGGGCCTTACCCCTGGTAGGTTCATTTACCAGCTGATGAAGGAAACTGTCCTCTATACACTCCAGGAATCTCTTAGACTGCCTCTTCTCTGCAGTACTGAGCTCCCAGCAGATATCCAGCAGGTTAAAGTCACCCACAAGGACAAGGGCTGACGATTTCGAGACATCCACCAGCTGCTTGTAGAATAATTCATCCCCTTCATCATCCTGGTAGGGCGGTCTGTAACAGACACCTATGATGATGTCAGCCTTGTTGGTCTTCCCCCTGATTCTTTACATCACTCAATAAAGCCAAGCATCAAAGAGCAGGAGTTACAGCCTGAGGAGGGCCCTTGAGCAGCAGCTGGAGGGGAATCTGAGGCTCTGCACAGTGCTGTGCAGCTGCCCTGGGGAGAGAGGCAAGGTTGGAGAGAGCCCTTAAGTTTCCTCCTATTGTGGCATTCTAAAATTGTGTCTGTAAAGCAAAGTTTCTTCATTTTAGGTACAGTCCTTTCCTGGTCAAAGCCCTTCACGTCCATCTAACAGGGACTTGGATGACATTGCCATGTCAATCACCCACGGGACAGGTGAGTTTCTGAGCTGCCCAGTGACTGCATCCATGTTGAGCCTCGTGCTTTGTTCTCTTTTCATTGTGGAAGACCTAAGCCAGTTGAGGCTGATCATCTTCCACTGCCCTCTTTCAGCTTCTTCTCTGTGTCTACAGAAGACAAAATCTTCCACAATTTTCAAGGCAGTAAGAGAGTGGCTTTTTGACACATCACTAAAATCCACAGAAAACTTCTTTAAACCCTGGAATTTCATTGAAGTGGATGCAGAATCAGAATGAGAATTATCATGAGCTGTAACAGTAACTTTGATCCAAGTTACATAGAAATATTTTAAGTTCTACATATTTAATTGTCAACAGCTGAAATATCCAAGACAAGAGAGTTATATTAATTCCAGCTGGACACCAAATTAATATCTGTTGGAAAATTATGATATGCCTTCCTCTTAAACTAGAAAATAGTACTTGGTTGGTCTATATTTAAACTCTATACTTATTTTCTGGATCACCTACTGCATTGTTCATTTTAGTTTTATTTTCAAAGCATTCAAGCACAGGAGATCTTTGCAAGATTATCATGTTATGTCACTGATCCTCACTAGAAGACTCAATTTGTTCAGCAGTAAGAAATTTGGGTCAAAGGCCACGGCTGAGAAAAGACAAAGAGTATCATTTACACCTGTGTCAATCAGAAATCAGTCTATTGAAATCACCTGAATTACCTTTGTCTCAAATCAATGTGAAAGAGATTTCTGTGTTTGCAGAATCTGGATTATGTGGCAGTCAGGAATTCACATTAATTAGTCTATAGCAGGAAGCATTACAGATTGCTAAATTAAAATCCTAGTTTGGTGGGCTGGCTTTTTAACCAAAATGGGTTTTATTCTCTTATTGGCAAATCAAATTCATGTCACCACTTAAGCCTGCTTGCTCACACTGCATTATCTAATGTGCTTCAAGGTATGAAGTAATAGAGTCTGTAATTTTGCATTAGAGAATTAATCTGAGGTAAGAGAACAGTAATTAGTGTCCTAGTTTTTAAAGCAAAAAATCAAAACCTCACCTTTTCCAACTATTCACAACGACTAGCAAACTTTTGGATATGCAAAATTTTGTATTTCTTGACTTTTGATGTTCCCAGAATCATGTACTTTTAATAGTCCTAGAAAAAAAGCAATTTTAAAAGAGTATTTCTGACTACACAGCAACGAGATGATTTACGAAAAGGTTTTGCTTGGGAATTTTAACTTGGCTTGTTCAGGGATCTGGCTGGAAGCATTGCAGGGGATACAGCACTGGAGAGACGATTTTGCCCAGGAGAGCTGGCTTATTTCCACGGATCACCTCCTCCAAGATCAAGAATGGCCCTTCCTGATAAGCATGAAACCAAACAAGATGGCAGGAGGCCTGCAGGGATGAACACAAAGCTGCTGGATAAACTCAAACAGAAAGAGGTAGCATGCAGGAATTGAAAGCAAGGATGAGACACTCAGGAAGAATGTAAAGACATTGTCTGAGCACACGTGGTTGGGTTTAGGAAAGCCAAAGCTCTTCGGAATTTAAGTTTGGTGAAAGATGTGAAGCTCTACAAAAAAGGGCTTCTACAGGTTTATCAGGAGCAACTGGGAAGCTATGGAAAATGTGTGCCTGCTGCTAAACGGGGTATGGGAGGGACCTGGTGACAAAGAATGAAGAAAAGATCAAGGAGTTCAGTGATGCCTTTGCCTCAGTCCTTTAATGGTAGGATTTGCCTTCAGGAATCCCAGGCCTCTCAGAAGCAGAGGGAAAGTCTGGAGCAAGGAAGACCTAACTTTTGACAGAGAAGGTTCACGTAAGAAACATTTAAACAAACTGGACCTACACAAGTCTATGGGACCTGATGGAATGCACCACAAATATGGAGTGAGCTGGCTGACGTCCCTGAAGTCTTGTTTATCTTGAGTTTAGCAAGGCTTCTGACACTGCCTCCTGTAACTTCCTCATGGATAAACTGCTGAGCCACAGATGAGATAAACAGGCAGTGAGGTATACTGAGAACTGGCTGAACTCCAGGTTCAAAGGGGATGTCATTAGCAGCACAAAATGCATCTTAAGGCCAGTCACTATTGGTGTACCCAGTGGTTGACAGTGGGACCAATACCATTTGACATCTTCGTTAGTGACGCAGAGGGCAGCGCAGAATGTACCTGCAGGAATTTTGCAGATGATACAAAACTGGGAGGAGTTGTTGATACACCAGATGGTTGTGCTACCATGCAGAGGGACCCTGACAGCCTGAGAACTGGACACCTGTACTGCTTTCGTTCAGATACAGCATGAAAAAATGATGCAGAGTTTTCCTAAATCTTAGAAGTCATAAATTATGTTTCAAACACATTTGTTTAAAGTGACTAACTTTAGTCTTTCAAATTCATACCACCCTAAAATAGTATTTTCTTCCACCACAAAACTAGCAAATTTGTAGGGCTCTTCTGACCCAAACCATTCAGAGTAATTTATGAACATTCGGAAGTGCTATCACTAAAGGCTTAAACATTTATCATACCACAAACACGTATTCTTACATAATGATGAGACAAAATAAGAAGGAAAGCTGTCAAAATGGAGAAAAATAACTGACCATTAGTCTACACAGCTCTTCTTCCAAAAGCAATTCATTTGCACTTATGATTAAATGAATCATCCTCTAGTGACCTTACTGATTGTAAACACAAACCTGAGATGGCCACCATAGGCTAGGATGACTAATGTGAAGATATATAAGTCATAGAAGAGATTCATGCCCTCAGCAGTATCAAAATATTCCCCTGATCAAGATGACAGACAAGTGCCAAGAACTGTCAGAAAAATACAGGAATTGTTTAAGTGACGTGAGGTTATACTGTTGTGGCATACAAGTGAAACATCTTCAATGCTTTTAAAATAAAATATAAACTGGAAACATAAATGTGAGATTACTGTATCACTGATCTAAAACATTAAATGAGGTATTTCTCAAACTGTTTATGTTGTCTCTAAATATAGAGAGTCCCAATGCTTACTGTACCAAAGTTTTTATTATTTCAAACAAACTTCTGTACAAAAACATCAAAGCAGGCAAAGAAATTCTGTGACTTTAGCAAACAGCACAAGACAACCCACAGAATGATTTAAGGTTTACACTTTTATTATACAGGTGACAAATAGCTTTTCTCTGGGCTACTTAAAGAGAAGACTTCATTGTTTGACAAATAATTGCAGGTAAGCATGTATTAACTTCAAAGCTCAACAGAATGACCTGTCATCCACCTAGATTCACCTAACTGGAAGTGACTATGAACAAAGCAGAATTTTCCCTAATATACATTTTTAAATGTCCTCCCATTAAAAACAGAGCTTGTAAACAGTGGATTTACTACTGTGAAAAAACAGTGTGATCATTACTTCCAAAACAGAAAAAAAAAACAAACCCAAAAACTAACGTGAGTTCTAATTCTGTTCCCGACAACAACACAGTGATGGGCTGCTGTGATCACAGGCGTGTGACACGAATGCTGGAACTGTGGTGCTGTCCAGTATCACCACACGTATGACATTGGCACCTGTGGGTCCTGATCAGGTCTGAGAAACCTCATAGTGGTTGTTCTGCTCAGAAATAAACTCTTAAGCCAACCCCTATTCCAGAGAACTTGTGATATTAATACTGTTTAAGAACTGAGTTCAATGACGCAATTTGTCACAGCGCAGCCAAGTTTCAGCAGACTATATGCATCTTCAAAGTCTTAAGGTAATATTTTTAGAAGTGATATGCATGAAAATTCCAGTGAAAGCATACAAACTCTGATATATGTACACAGGAATAAGCAAATACAGATCTGAATCTGTGCACAAGCACTGGAGTTTTCACACATATAATGCAAGCAAAGTACACAAAATCAAACACATTTTCAGAACGTGACCTCTGCAAGAATATGTACAGCAACTGCAGACCACCCAGAAGACACACTTAACAGAGCATGAGCACTTTGCTGCTTTTGGCAAAGTATTCCTATTCCTTTTACCGGAAAATTTAATAGAAAGTAAGAAAAAAAAAAAAACGCAGCAAGGAACTCAACTCCTTGAAGTATCAATCACATCTCAAAAACCAATGAAGAGCAGTCAGCTGACAAATATTTCTGTGTTGACTCTGAATCATCTAATGGAGTTTGATGAAGCCAATTTGACACTAGAGAAATTTGCTGCTACAGAACAGTGTACCAGTTTAGATCAGCAAAAAAATTACTTACCAGCTGGAGCTGCCAGAGAGTTAATCTTCATTGTGATATACTTACACTGACAAACCCTTTCCAGTTAAGTCAAGGCATTAGTATTTTCCCTTTCCTTTCTAAATCTAATAAAATCATACAGAATTTTCAAAATCTATCAATGGTCTTTAAACACATTTTCTGTTTATTCATACTGAATCTGAAAAAGGGTAATTATTTCCTCAATTGTTGAAAGGTACAGGTTATACCTAATTGAAAAGATAAAACTACCTCTTTGCTGTCATCCAATACATTTTTGGATGACAGCCAGCACATAATTCTTAAAATTAGGTGGATCTCCACTTATTACAGGAAAGATAATGTGTTTCATGAGAGTGATGAATATTCAGGTATTTTCCTATTCATAGTAGCTTGACGAGATCCTAAAACTGACCAAAAAACTGCGGACATGTTCTTAAAATATATCCAATGAATTTTCCTTTCTATTAACTTTCTCTGTTTTTAAAGCTCCTTTTCTGTGGTACCTTTGACATTTCAGTTTATTTGATTTCCATTCTGTTTTCACTACTACTTAATTCTGTGATAGAGAAGGTGTTTAGGGATTAAAATGCACAGACAAACTGTCATAACTGAAGTATCTAAGTAAAAAAGTATTTTAAAGGTCAGAAGATAAAGCCTAGCATAAAAACAGGCTGCACTATATAAAGTCAGTCAGGTTATGAACAGATTCATATATTTTAGCAATGTGAAGAAAATGGTTATGTAAATACACACAAGTATTAACATCAAACTGTATTAAATTATGTAAACATACACATCTTCTGTGATCAATACAAACATCTACTTGTCTCAGGATACTACTGCAGCATCGCTCGAATTTGTTTTGAAGTAGATTCATCGTTCAGGTGTTTTGTAGTGAACCTAGAAATTACAAGTTAAAACAGTATTTTATAAAGTGAATGGGCATTAGGAAAGTCTGAAAACTTGAAGCCCTTTTTTGAAATCAGTACAGTTCAGTTTCATAAGGGAGGAATTTACATGTTTCACTGGAATTTAACTGGTAGTAGTCTGGTGCTCTTCATCTTCTAAATATTCTTTGTAATAAATTATTCCCTTCTAAAAGACAGATAACTGACAATTGTGGCTAAATCCTATTTTTTATCCATCTACAACACTGCCAAAATTTGGGTCAAAATTATCTCCCTTTTTTTTTTTTTTCCAGTTAAAGGCCTCAACAGAAGAAAAATCATGGAAAGACATAAGAAATATGGTAAATATTAAAAGTGCTTAAGAATCCAGACTGACTTTTGGCATAATCTATTACTTAAAGAAGCTTTCTTAAATGTCCTGGGAAGACTGAAGAACTTTATTGTTTTTTTTTTTTTTTTCCAAGTTTGAGAAGTAGAAATCCTACACTTGGCTCCTAAAATCTTCTAGTTGCTGGGGCATTTTATATAACAAATCTTAGCTTAGATACACTGTTGACAATATTTATACTCCTTGCTAATCCAACAGAAATGAAATTGAGACAAATGAACATTACTTAAGAAAACTACAAGAGACGTAGGCAAACGTGAAAGGACAGTCTTAATAAATCAAGTTTCTAAGGTGAAGAGTCTTAATTATAAAGAGATAACTTTCTAAGGTTGAATCACACAGTTATTCCACACATACCTGAGAGCATTCAGAAGTCCTTCCACAGTGTCAGGTGGTTGTTCCTTTAAAACTTTTATGCATCCCTTCATCTGGGAACAGAAGCATGCCACTATTGAACAATAATATATGAATTGCACTAGCTGAAAACAAGGAAAAATTTCACCATAGACAGGCAGGGCTTTTTCCTACTGAGTGTTAATGCCGCTTTATATGACAAAATAAAAGCATTAAAACTTATTAACAATTATATCTAAGTTAAAAACTCAACTTTGGAGAAAATATCTACTTTAATAAGCACTTGTAGAGAATAAGTCATATATCAAGTATATATATTTTAACTTGTACATGATTTCTCTAATTCCAAGTTAGAAAAAAAAAATCAAGAACACCTGATATAAGCTAAAAAAAAGGGTTTTGGGAGTTCCATGTCATTGTTGTTAGCAACTATCAGAAGAGATGTTTTAACTTTGACTTTTATTTTTATGTTTGCACACAAGGAAGTAATTTTCAGTATTCAGTTTTTAGTTGTAAATTTAACTGGTGACATCTTATGAATAGTTTCATAACGAGTGGTTACAAATTTAATCTGAGGTAAGAAGTCCATGATGTTTATTTTAAACACTACACTGAATGTACATCTTTATGGAGACTTTAAAAAACAAGCTGAAACTGTCCAAATTTACAAAAAGGGAAATGAAGCACAGAAAGCAGGAGTAGAACTCATTTGACCCACTGTACAGACTCCCTATCTATTCAATAGAGAGAAACAAGAAATCTCTCAAACCTATTCAGAATATACTTTTATATGTAATGAATTATGCCCCAGAAGTACCTATTTCTTCCCACTGCTATGAAGACATCTAATATAGTTATCCAAAAATTAGTCTAGATGAATTCCATCTTATTCAAAATGACAGATAAAGGCATGGCTGAGTCAAGATCTGAATCTGCTAATTTTCCAAGTCACATTAGAGTGCTAAATCTATGCATCACTATTTTCTTTGCAGCTAAAGCAAATAGCAGATCAGAGGAAATTCTCAGGGTAGTACCACGTGTTTTGAAGTGACACTGTTACTTTTCCCAAACTAGAGAAACTCAAGACTATATGCACATCATTCAGTAGAGGTGAGTATGCCCTGCCAGATCAGAGAAGACCAGTTCAAAGGGGATGAGAATTCAAACAGTTCTTTTTCATTTTTGTTACAATCAGAATCCCTAGAACAGTCAAAAAGAGAAGCTATTAGGCTGCCTAAGCTAGGAGCCTGTAATTAACAGCTTGAAATACAGCCTCCAGTCCTGAAAGAGTAAGGAAAAGGTAATATACTCCACTGTCCCTGAAATTCTCTTGAAATGGCTCCCAAGAAGTGGGAGAAAAGAAATGTCTTCCACAGTAAAACAAACTCATCACCTGAAATATTAGAAGATGTTTTAATTAAAGAAGAATCACTAAACTTATTAGTTTTAGTCAATATTTGGGACTGTGTAGTCATTTAAAAAAACCTGAGTCATACATCTCCTGCCTCCCATTTACCTCTAGACAACTTCACTGTAAGATTACAGGGCTTTAAGATAAATGTGAGAAACAAAGTACACACACTGTGTATTTGGTCCTATGAAAATTTCACTTGTGTTTTCTCTGTAGGCAAGAAACTGAACTGGCAGTCAGGAAATCGGCATTCAAGTCCCACACTCTATCTGCTTCATGACCTTGAGCAGATCAATTCCCCTCTGTGTGACACATTTTTCCCTCTGCAGAGTCAAAGAGGAGATGTGGCAAAACACTGGTATCTGCAGATGCAAAATGCTAATGAAGACCCAGGGTCATGGAGGGCAATAATATATATGTTTTTTCTCCTCTTTTGAAGCAGGCTGTCTTGTAAAGGGAAAGACTTGACGTCTATTTTCATGAATGACAGATTATTTCTGCTGAAAGATGTCATGCATAAGATTTAGGTTTGTAAAAACATATATACAAAAATTAGGAGTGCTTTTTTTATGTGTGCTTGCAATTTTTCAAATGGAAAAATAAGGCTGATTTCCCTGTGACTGGCTATGCTAATGCTAAAACTGAAGGGTCATTATCAGCATTACAACAGTAACATTTCAGTTCTGCTACTTCAGATCTCAGACAAAGCGGAGACAATGTTGAATATCTACTTATTTACAAGAGAACTACTGCCAAAGAAGAGCATTTCAGGGTCAATAAAATACATGATTAAAAAAAATTATGACCAGAGAACATATTCCAGGGTAGGTGCAATAAAAAATTATTTTAGTGTAACTATACAGTTGGCAAGAAAGCAGAGCTAACAAAAAAAAATTATTATTATCTGTATCTGGAAGAAAATACAAAGAAAAAAAGCTGATTCTTATTTTACTTTCAAACAAGCTGTTGTATTAAAGTACACAGGTGAAGACAAATTCTAAATTTTGCCATTCAAAAGGAATTAAAATTATTTGTACCAAGTCATAAGCTTATGCTGAAACAGAGCTGCAGACTAGTATTCTCAAACCTACAGAATATTAAAGAAAAGCATCTCTTACATCAATCTTTGATGTCTTTGAGAAAGCTCCCACAGGATGAACGTGATCGTACAGAATAATAACTCCCACCATTACTCGCATGCAGAACATAAGAGTCTCTTCACTGGTGAATCTACTCCTATACTCTCTGGAAAACAGACCAAAAGAAATAAACAGCCTTGATTTTTATTAGAAAATTTTAAAAATATTAGACTGTGAGTGTATGAAATTCTGAACCAAAAGTGTATCTTAAGGCTGAAGATACATCTTAGTAAGACTTGAAAGATCTTTGAGTATCATAAGCTCTTGCCAAGTTAGAAGAATGGTTAGAAAGCAAACAGAGAGATGTAAACCTCTGCTAACACCCATGCACAGCTGAGATCCTCACTTCACAAAATGTATGTGATGATGGCTGCACAGAAAACCTCATGAAATATGATGGAGACTGATCATACTTCTGTTTAATCTCAGAGACACAACATACTGGGACATTAAAGGAAAGCTAGTGTTTTTGCTTAAATTCCTACTTTGAAACAGTTAAGTGGGATCTAAGTTCAGCAGGTAGGAAGTTCAGGGCTTCACCAAGGTGGATCATAACAGTCATTGCTCTGTCCGTCTTTTCTAAGTCCATGGACAAGTTCAACAACCCAGGTTCACTGAACATCTAAAATGTGGAGTCCCACTAGGTAAAACTGGTTTGAATTAATTGCAGAGTTTTTCTCTGACTTTTCATAAGAGTATGTACAGCACCGTTAAGACAGCCCCTCTCGGCTGTAATCCCTGATTTCATTGTCAGGAAATGAAAAATGAAATGCAGAAGAGAAAAATAGAAACTTGGAAAAAAGACATTATCATATTTATTCTAACAAATACTATTTTGAGTAGATTTGTTTACATAGATTTGTTTAGTGTAATTAATTTCAATAGAAAATGCACTTCAATATAAATTAATTTATAAATATGAATATTATATAGAAATATTTCGGTATAAATATCAATTCATTTTCAATAGAAAACTTTATTTTTTCACTTAAATGACATTAAAAATACTAAAACCTGTGCTCCAGTACCTCTCAGTTTCCAATTTGAACTTTTATTTTTACACAGCATCATAACATGAGCAGATTTAAAGGCTACAGACATTATGATGTGATAATGTTTGATTATCCCACAATTAGAATTAAATATCAGATAATCTTCTAGTAGATGACTCACAACTTTGTTTCTCTTCTTTGGCCAAAAAAAGAGCTGACACATAAGGTTACTTTTCAATTAGCACTTCTACTATGTCCCAGGACTGTGAGATGAGCCCTGCCCCTACAAACACTTCTTCATAACTTTTATAAACAAACCTCAGAAATTCTGCCTTTTACACGGCACCATGAACAAATGATTCAAAGGTAGAAAACTCTGGCTCTATCTGGTACGTGTTTTCCACTAAAGAGACATCTAACCTAAAAAATACTCTGCTAAATGCACAGCAATACAGTAATAAACAACCCCACTGGCTATTGTCTACACTAGTAGATATGAACACAACTGTATAGCTGAATACATTCAAATGAATGAAAAAATCATATGACTGGATTTTTTCATATCTAGAATAAAATGGCTGCATCCAAAAAAGATCTACTTCAGTGATCCTTGAAGTAGTCCTCGAGTATCATTTGCTAAAGCTCTGCTTGGAAGGGCCAAAATCTTGCCCCTGTGTGCTAATAATTGAGCACCATGGGCAAACAGGAGGCAGCAGCTGGCCTATGGGCCAGGCTAGACAAGACACAGACACTAAAGCCTATGGGTACATAAGATTCCACTCATATTTTAACCTTTTGTTGAAATGCAGGCTGACCATGTAAGCTCCCTTGAACAAAACTCAATGCTGACTCATGAAAAAAGTGGTTAAAATAGGAGGCAAGGCTTTCCAATACCAGGCCATGCTTTGTATATAAAAAGTGGTAACAACTTAAGGCGAAGATACAGGAATTCACTTGGAAAAAACTGAGGTGCCCCAGGTGTCAACTTAAAATACAATACAGGTTTCTCTCATACAAACCCCCCAAGATTTAAGACAAAACTTACGGTGTTTCCAACATGACTTTACATACACTGGCCATAGTACTTAGACAGTCCGTTGTATTTTCAATTGGTAATGTTTTGTTCTGAAACGTAAAAAAAAAAAAAAGTCCATGTTCAGTAAACCATCTTGCAAAATTAAAATCAAGAATGCCTGTGTTAGACCTTTCTCCCCCATTACCTACTTCTGATACAAAATGTGTCGTTGCATTACTGAGTGTCTTCAGCATTGGTGTAGCTTCTGCATAAAATAGGGACATCCTATTGGCCATTTCATTGTTCACTTCATTCTCAATGTCTAGCTGATGAAAATAGGAGAAAAAATAGTCAGTAAAGCGCTTTTAAATCTTGCCAGCAGCAAGAAAAAGATACAGTACATGTTCATGTCAGCAAGCAGCTTGTTGCATGAATAGTTCCACTCTAATCACTTCATCCGGACTGCTGATTAACTCTCAGTGTGAAGGAGAGAACACGACAGCTAGCAAATCAAAAGCAAAAACTTTACCACAAATGGCATAAATGCATCCTGATAAATACCTCAGTGTGAGCAGCAGATCAGAGTTTATTTACTTACATGCATGTTGTTTATTCTGTTGCGACTTATTGTCCGTCTGTAATAACTGAAGTCATTCTGGATTGCTGGGTTTCTCATCTTTCAAGAAGACAAATAGGAAATAGTCAGTTTTGGTTCAAAATACATGGCAAAAATCAGAATGTATTAAAAGATTTTATTAACCTTAAGTTCATCAAAACGAAGAGTAAAATGTAATATTTCTGCAAACTCTTTTGCTAGAGCCTGTTCCCGTTCCAGGTGCTGAGTTGGAGTGTAAGGAGGGCAGGTCAACGATTCCAGTAAGCTCTGCAGGGCTTTCTCTGAATATAAAATTAGAAGCACAAATTCTAGTCAGTCCACATTATGACAAAGTTTTAAGTGCATATCTAAATATACTGCTTTTGAAGGGAAGGAACCCTCTGAACATGCAGAGCCTTAACAGAAATGCTTTTTCTTACTATCCTAAAGTGAGAAACTTAGTCAAAGACATCTGCCTCTTCAGGCTCTGCCATTTTCTCTCCATTCTGTATCACTGAGCTCTTTTCCCTTTTTGTCACCCTTTATCTGGGATCTCTATCAAAAATTCCAGAGGAAGCATTTTTCTTGCATTCAGATATTCAACTCTTTCCTTTCATCTTCCCCAATTAGCCATCAGTTCAGTATAGATTATTCTGGCATCTCTGTTACTAAAAGTGTACACTTAGGCACTGATAGCAATATAAATCAGCTCTTGTGGCTGTAATTACTAGCATAACTCAAAAAGTGAAAGACTTAGTTAGCAGGATGCTGTAGAATTCCCTTGCACTGGGAGCTCTCCCACTTCATACATATATTCTTGCACAATTTTCTCTTCAAGAGTCCTAATTCAAAGAGCAATTACATAATTTTTTGTGTTTATAGGGACAACAAAGTTAAATTAAGACTAAAAATATGCCTTGACAAATGTAAAGGTGGTTAAATGTCTGATGATATCAAACAGAAAGAATATTAATTCTTTAAAAGTCTGTGTACAAGGAAAGTTTCTATTTTGTTACATATAAAAAACCTATTAAAGAAACATATTAAAACAGGGCTCACCTAATCTGAGTGAAAACTCATAAAAGCGCTTCAGCCTTACAACCAGAGGACAGACTGAGTTCCATGCTTTTTCTTGCAACTGGATATCATTGGGATTTTGTATTGCCTGAAATGAAAATATTACTGTAAAGGACCGTTGGTGATAAACAAATAACAAGCAAAAGGTGGTTTGGAATTTTTCCACGTTATTTTAGAAAGTAAGTATTGCAAAATGTGGAACAGTTTTGAGAAATGATATTACATAGGAAGAGAAAATTAATAAGTCAAGAAAATACGATGTTTTCCACCTTCCCTGTCCCCCTGTAACATAATGATTTAAAATCATTCATTACAGTGCACCACTGATATACAGAAACGTTCTAGTGTATTCTCTTGGGAACAAAACTGTTGTAAAAAACCTTTTGTATGACTATTGGTTACAGAAGTAGTCCTTTTTTAAGGTTTTGATGCTTTTGAGGTCTTAAACATATTGAAGTTCTTAAGTAATCAACAGTTGACAGCAACAGTATCTGCAAAGCTGATCCAGAAAAAGGTTTGGTTACCTGAGAAAAATTGTAAGTTACAGTTCAAAACTGTACTTCAGGACCAGTTTCACAGAATAAGAAGCCTTTAAAGTGGATGTAAGGTTAAAATTTACTGTGGTTCATTATTGCACTTACACAGAAGAACAACTACTTTTGTCATGTGTTTCTGACATCCAAGTATTATTTCTTCCATGTCTTCAACTTCTACTGTGAGATACATGAAACAGGGTATATGAAATAGTGTTTCTTAAAGTGAAAAATAATTACTAATTACTAACAGAAAACCTAAAAAAAGTTCCAACAGCCATAATTTAATGACTTCACATTAGGGATTTATATTGAATGTTATGCATAATCCATAATGTATTTTATAAATACAATTTTAATGAGACTTTCATATAAATTCATAGAATGTGCTTGGATAGAGAACAGAAGCTAGGAACACATTGAGTTTTGCTTGATTTTGCTTCCAAATAATTCTCATTTAACAAACATACATCTCTGATTTCTTGTCCAGCTCCTTTGTAAGCTTGAAGGTCTGCAAGCATACTTTCCGAGTCCTGTAAAACTGCACTGATCTGATTCCACACCTCCCTTTCTCCATCTGTGGGCTGTGCATCTAAGAAATAGAAAAGCAAAATGCACAAAGTCAAAAGGAATCTGCAATACAAGTGGCAAGATTATTCAGTTATACTTAACACTACATCCAGCTTGACTATGAGTAACTCTATATTGATGTAGGTTTTTTTAATATACAATTATACTACACTGCCATTCTGCTAACATCCAAGTCCCTGCTTTTTATAGCAAGGAAGGAAAAACAGTACAGTTTTTGTATGCTCTGGCTCATAATGCCTCTTCTCAAAATGCAGCATTTTAAAGAGCAGCAGTATCATAAAGCAATGTTATTACAAAATAGGATAATGCATCAGTCCCTCTCTTTCATGAGCTCCACAGCTCAATTACAAAGAATTGTTCACTTTTCTTGCAGCTTGGGGATAAAATCAGGCCTTTCAGTGGATGGAGCAGTGGGGTATTACTTCACTTTGACTTTGCTCCAGGCTTCTTTAACCAGGGTAATTAATTTCTCCTTTCGTAAAACAGGGATATACTACCATTAAAAATACATTTTTTCTCATGTATGCCAAAGATCATTTCTGCCACTAAAATAAATCCAGCTCTGTCAATAATCAGTTTTCAGGGTGGGAGTGACCTGTAGACCTTTATTGTTCAGAGAAATGACATTTGAAAGTAGATCAATTTTCCCATTCAAATCTAATCCCATGGGATTTACACAGCAATGTGACACCAAGTGATGTTATGCCCAGAACATAGACATGTTAGACAAGGTAGAGATCTTCTGTCTTCTTTTGCTTTAAAACATAAAGATAGCAGGTACTGACCAAAGACTGGCTGACTTATATATGGGATTGCAGTCAGTATGTGTGGGAACAATGACATTGTCCGAGCACATTTCTAGAGACACAACTATTTTTTTACTTAGTTTTGTATTAGCTGGTAAAGATAGAATTTTAATTTTTATGGAAGAAAAAAATTACTTTGAAGGTGAATCTTAGAACTTAGTCACTACTTGTTTGAGTTAAAAGGAATAACTTCAAAACTCATCAGTTAAGATGAGCTACAGAACACATCCCTAATAGACAAGAAGTATTAACAACACTTTTTCTACTTAGTCTTATCACTCTCCTTAAGAAAACAGACACATTTTTATACCTGTGTATCAGTACAGGATTCTTTACCCATTCCCCGTTAGAAACAAATGAACCAGTTCACATTGGAGTGTATGGAAAGAGCACTCTCTCCAAGATGTTTCAGGCTAGGATAATTTGTTTAAATGTTTCAAGTTATCTTTAGACCTTGCATGAATGGGACACAAATGGCTGAGATTTACATGTCTGTAGCTCTGAAGCAACTAGTACTTAAAATCTTTCCTATATTCCTATGGCATCATGAGTCCCATGAGACTGGTCACATAAAACAACATTGATTTGACTTTCCTTTTATTCAGGAAGTGTTCCTTAATCTTATTTAAAAAAATTGAAAGCAAACATTAGCTGGGCTTACTTAACTGGGTTTTATAGCCAAAATACTTCATGTGACTAAAAAATTCCACTATCCTTCAAAAAGTAAGGGAAAGTAGCACCAAATGGAAAAAAAACCCCAGGAAAATCCCATCTGGGACGTGGATGTTGAACCAATCTATCAGCCATATTAAGTTTACAGTGTTCCAGACTGGTTCTTTCCTCAAGCTGCAAGAAATCTCAGGTATACACCATAAGGGGTCTGTCACCTTGTGATAAACAAGCAAAACAGAAAACCCTTCTGAATTTAATGAGGAACACGGTGATCTTGTTAAGCAGATACCAACCATACAACAGCAGAGCAGGGAAAGGTAAGAGTTGCACATAAATCAGTATCTATATTTTAATAGCTCAATAAAAGTTAATTTAAATTATCATTTTTCAGTGAATACTAACACCAAAGAAAACAAATAATTTGTTAGTGCAGTTTATGAAAGTAAAATTTGCATGTGCAGGTCACCTGAAGCATGTTGTTAACCTTGTTGGTTAATATAGTCTTTCTATGTTACTTTTTACAACTTGTTTGCTTTTTCAAAAATTAGTGCCTAAGAGGGATGAAAATGCTACAGATTGCTCAGCACTTTTGGACTTCAAAATGGCCTTTAGTTACACCCTTTATTATAGGTCTTTTTCAAATTTATCTTTTGGATGTTGGGGAAGGAGGAATACTTGAAACTCATTGAAGGAGCTTTCTGTAATATCACAGCACCGGGGGAAGTAGGAGCAAGAGGAAGGCAGGTGTGTGGGAGAGGGGAAGGAAAGGGAAGGGAGAGGAATAGGGCTGCAAAGGCTACAGAGCAACAGGCTTAGCTTGCATTTGCAGAAGATGTTTATATTTATGCTGGAAATGTTTAGCTTAAAAATAAAGGTAGGGAGGATGATTCATGCTTTTTAAAAAAAACATGCATCTTATTTATGAAATACATGTTATGTAAACAGATGTTCTGAAAAGACCATGGCCATGTTTCAAAGGGGATTTTACATGAAGATCCTGCCAAAAATGGTCAGCTAAATTAACTGCTATAGATCACTTTGAAAACAATTTTATCTTACTGTCAACAACAATAAAAACAGCAACAAGAACTAAAAGGAATAGAGACTTCATGGCAGATTTTGGCTTTTAAAACTGGCTTTCTATTCCAGTGATACCAAAGCTCCTTTCTCTGTTCTGAACTAAAAAAATGCCAATCCTGAATCATTCTGTAGGATCACTGCCTGCCAGTGCTCACCACTTATCCTCATGCCACCACAGAACCAGTGCACACTTGAAAGTCTGAGCCCATTTATAAATAAAACCACTTCCACTGACTAACTCATGGTGGATGCAGGTCCTCTTTGCAATGTTACCATAATGACCAGACTTTCATTTCATGTATGAGTTTTTGGAGTACTCATGATTAGCATTCAGAGCATGCTGTCTTTAAGAAGATAAAATAGAAAGGCCTTTTATCTCCCTTTGGCCAAATGTTTCTAATGTGTACCCTAAACCCAACAACTATATAAATCCTAGTGGAGGCTTGAATCTTCCATATACAGATTCTATCAGAAAAATTTCAAAATTTTAGCTCTGGAGAGAAATGCAGTTCCATTGGGTCCATCAGAAACAACCAGGATATGATAATTCATCCATTCCATGAACACATGCTCTATCTCACCTTCACACATGGTCTGTACCATGTTTTGGATGGCACTTTGCACTTCAGGAAAACAAGGAGGAAATCTGGACCCAACACAATCCATTTGTGGGTGCTTTAAGTATGTCAGATGAATGGTCAGGCCTGAAAGTGGGATCATCATTATTTTCTTAAAAAAACACCTGTCACTTGTTTCAGAAAACTCCTCTAGCAGTGCAAGATATCCACCTTGTCCTGTATTAGAAACTGCTAGGGAGGTAAGACAGTAGTACTCATAGGACAAGATTAAATATAGAAAGGATATGAAGCCTTTACTGATACAAAATGAAGTATAACAGTATCTCAGTAATTAATTTTAACGAAGAGATAACAAAACAGTACT